TGGTATTTCCAGCGTGAGTGAGCAGGCCCTCGAATCGTGTAACACTGATTCCGTAAATCAGACAGTTTCAAACCGCTGAGGCCATCCGTGCTTTCTTCCGCCTTCCGTGGCTGTTGGAAGGAAACAGAAATGCTCTGGAGGTAGAGCAGGTGTTAGCAAGCGTCCCCTGGTGCAGTTGTCTGCACACAGAGCGTTGGTTGTTAAATGCGTACTGGAGGCCGAACGCTTTCTTTTCTTTCCTTCCTTCTTTCTTTTTTTTTTTTCCTCCTTCTTCCCTCTCTTCTCCTGATCACGACCATTGTTCAGAAGCAAATTGGAAATCTGGTAATTAGGCCCTGACTCACAGTGTAATATTAGAGTCCCGAGCCAAAGTTCAACACCCTGAAATGAAATTTAAACCAATTAATCTGTTAGATTTTTATCGCTTGTCCGTGTTTTCTCAGCAATTCCCCCAGCACGTGGCCTTTGATCAACTCTCATACAAACGCTAAAATGTGTGCCTGCTGCTAGCAAGATGGGAATGACATTAACATGGTACTCATAAAACAATCAGAGCAGAGAAGCCCTCAAACAGGCAGGGCATAGTAATATTTAATAAAAGCGCACACATAATCTTCAGAATTAGCATTTTGTGCCTTGCAGTACCTTTGGGAGAAGAGCTTTTATTTGTGGAGTGATCATTATTATAACAAAGAAGAGCTACCTAATCATTTCCACTTTAACTCTGCAATGTGCCACGAGCATTTCAGAGCCATTATGCTAAACTGTGGTGGTGTAATCATGTTATTGTCATAGTTTGAAGGAAGGAAAATCTCCTTTACTTTGGTGGCTGTTGGGGGTAGGGGGAGAGGTTTGAAAAAAAAAAACCCAAACTCTTGTTTTTAATGAGATTTAGAACCAGGAACTGGTTTCCTGTCCCTGTGGGTAACCAGAGTGTGAAAATTCATTGGTGAGGAAGTATCTCTTATTAATTAAATGAAGATTTGGCCAGTAGAAGTGATTTTGTATTTAAATTCACCCTTTCTCCCCCATTCCATGGTATTTTCTTAGTAACAGAATTGTATTGATTATTACACTCCTGGGCTGGATTGAACTCTTTCATGAATCTTCACCCTCAGATTTCACTGAATACATCCACTGTGACTATTAAAAACTGTCTTCCCCCTGCATCTCTCTGGGTATCCCAAGTGAAAAAAAAAAAACCAAGTTCCTGGCCCCTGCAGACATTCTACGTGCTTTCTCAGAGAAAACATGCCAGAAAGAGGAGGGCAAGAGAGGCTTAGTGTCTGTTAGCACATAAAGGCTTTAAAAAAAAAATTAGCATCAGTTTGCTCTAAAAAGTAAAATCTTTATCTCTCTCAGAATGAAATGCTCTGTGGTGCTTTTTTTTTTTAATTAAAACTATTACCTTCATATGTGCTCACTGAAAAAATTCAAGCTGTGCAGATAGTCCTAGTCCTTCGCTTTCCCGCATGGATCCCCGGGGGATGACTGATGCACATCCTTCCAGACCTCTGTCCACCACACCTGTTCACACCTACCTGCACGTTCACGCACACAGGCTAATATATATCATTTTTTTAAATTAGCAGGATCACATTATTCATTAGATTACAAATTGCTTTTTTTTTAACTTACTAACTTATTTTGGCATCTTTCCATGTCAGTTTATAGAAGTTTTTTTTTTCTTCCAACCATTCAAATGACACTCCAAATATCCTACAGCATGGATGTACCATACTTTATTTAGCCACTCCCTAACTGGGGACACCCAGACTCTTAAACTTTTTACTGTCAATACTGCAGTGAGCATTTGGGTACCTGTAGTTTTTAGGCACATTTGCAAATATTTCCTGGGCTGCTTTTAGTCTGGCAAGTTTGTTTGTGACAAGGGTAAAAGTGTAAGATGGTAGCCTGTGAGTTAAATTGAAGTCTATAAACAGTTTGTTTAGTCTACGCATTTAAAAAATTGAATTCGTTGCCAGCGTTTAAAGATTGGGAAATTTCACATAAAAATCTGGGCTCCCGGCTTCTTTAGAAAGATGAGAAGACCGGATCACAGTGGGCCTGCTTCTGTGCGGGGACGCTAGTAGCTGGCACTTCCCCAGTTCAGGGTGTCAGCGGCCGTCCATCTCAGGTTTGTTTGGAGACCCTGAGCTGTTATATTCGTCCCTGTGTCTTGCCTTCACCTGTATGGACCTGTGAGTTCTTAACAACTGCTTTTGGGCCTCATCCGTCTAGCTAGCCGTAGTGTTTTCTACCTTGCACTATTGACATTTTAGGGTTCTTCTTTATAGGGGACCATCTCAAGCGTTATGGGACACTTAGCATCCTCGACGTCCAGGTCCTAAATGCCTGCAGCAGTGCTTCCCCAGCCCTCTCTGCCAGTGGGACAGCCCAGGAGCCCTTCACGTGTTTTCCAGTCTTCCCGGCGGGGGAGGAGCACAGAGCTTTCTCCCCAGACTGCTGTGGCACCAGTGCCGAGCAGCATCTTTCAGACCTTTTGAGGTCTCCACTTAGAAAGGCCTGCCTGACTTACTTTAGGAGTGGCACCTCTTCCCTAAGCAGGGAGGCTGGACTGTGTTGAGCACAGAGGGAGGGTGCCACGCTTTTCCTGGAGCACTTCCTTCAGGGCTTTTTTCCCTCTCCAATGGATCTAAGAAGATAGTGTTAAGCACTGTTTCCTCACCAGCTTCTCTCTGGCTCCTTGATGCTCATTTACCTCTGATTAGTTGGCAGTAACTTTGTTTCTGGATGGTTGGAAACATTATCACTTTCGTTAGGAAATGTTTGACAGCATACACACACATGTAAGCGGACTTACAGGCCTTCTGTATCCTACAAATAGCAAACGGAAAAAAGAGCACTGGAGTCAAATCTCAAATCAGCCGTTCTCGGTCATGCTGTTATAACCAGTTTATTGTACGAGAGTCTCTCAAAGATACACCAACACGCCCCTTGCCTCCTTTTGTGCAATGATGAGAAAGCCTGGAAGAGCCCACACTTATCTAAAGAAACATGCTTGTGTGATTAAAAAAAAAAAGTAAAAAAATTAAAGGAAATCCCAAAGCTAATATAGATAATAAGCACCAAGATGATTTTCTGGTTTATGACGGTAATCGCAGGGTCAGCATTTAATGATACCATTGGATTCCATGCTTTGCCATCAGGCAAGACTCTTTCAAGACCAGCTCAATTAAACCAATGTCTTTGTCTTCTCAGAAGTATCCAGGGATAAAGTAACACCTTTTCTATTCCACTCTAGCAACTAAGTACTTACACGGAGCTAGAAATTAAGAAATAAGATTTTTGAGACATTAACTAGAATGTTTACAAACTGCTTATATTTTAAGAATTTTACATCGTTGTTAAATGTAGTTTATTTTTCTTATAAATTGCTTGGAATCATATTCTACCATTGGTTTGGGAATATTCAATCTGCATTTAAACGTGGTTATTTTTAAAGAAAAGAATCTATGAAAAAGCCCTATCCTGTGGAACATTGATCACAACTTGTATGTGACTTAAACATTGGACAAGAATTTTCAAGTTATGAATCATTTACATTTTCTTGATTAATCATTTTGTTTGGGGGAGAAAGTGGAGGCGAGAAAAGGCCTCTGAACTGCCCAGTTTGGGTTGTAAATGCATTGCTATGAGTTCAGCCAACATGAAGTGTTTAGTTTGGATATTTCCAAATTTCTCCGTGCAATTTTATGAGATTAATTTGAATCAAAGTCAAACCGTTCTTCTTGTTTGTGTGGTGGCACGTGAGCGATGGTCCCACAGGGCTGGGCTTCAGGTTTTCCTTTCTTCTTGCAAAAGTTCAAGTGTGACATTTTGCCAAGTTTGACAAAGTCCAGTCATTTTTTTGCCAGGTTTTTGTTTTTTTTTTTTTTCCCCTGTTAAAATTAACTGGTGCTCTCATTGGCTTCCATACTTGGAAAGCCAGTCTGGGGTACTTTATAAACTTTTACTTCGTGAACAAGGAGGGTCTCCTTTTCTCTCCTTATGCAGTGTCTCCTTTGCTTTAGAATTTTGCACAGTTCCTGTTTGTAAAAGCGATCATGGGAACACCAGCACTGGGCACTGTTGAGTTGAAAATCCTCGGTGGCACCAGCGTCCTCTCTGAGAGATTTCAAACCCTTCAATTACGTGTATGCCCAGCAATTCGGTTGAAAGCATGCCTTGCTCATCAGGCAAAACCACCTCCCGTCTGTTTGGAATCAGAGGATTTGCAAAGCATTTCCCATCTCCCAGGGCCATTTATAATGGAAAGAAAAGAGATAGGAAGTTTTGGAAAAGCCACTTCTTGGGTTTGATGCCTGGGAATGACAACAAATCAAAGGTCATGGGACTTTCTGTGGTTCAGCCCTGACTCAGCGTTTGGGTTACATAATTCACCCTGAGTGACCTGCGTACTTTGCATCTATCAAATGGGATCCATGACATTTATTGAAAAAAATCTTAATGATCTTTAAACAGGAATGTTGCTCTGTTAGTGTTACCGACAGAAGGCATGGAATGAAAATGATGTTCTGCTCCAGCCTTCTCTTTTTCTTCCCTTCCCACTGGACAGCAATGTTTATCTAAAAATCTGCAAGTTTTCTTTTCAGGAAATACATTTAATTATGAACCAATTCCACTGGAAGGTTTCCAGTGAGTTCGAAAAAGCCACCCATCTTTTTCTTTTTTTTTTTAATCTTCGGCATTTCATAAATTAAATTTTCCCTCCATGTTTTATTTCATAAGATTTTCAGGTTTGAAAAAGATTTGGGTGAAATATATGTGTCTTTAACAGAAACAATGAAAAGAATGCTTTTACAAACTGAAATTGCACCCCGAGGGTTCAGGTCCTAATGCGACTAGGAATGCTGAGGTCTTGAGGGACTTCCTGTTAGTGAAAAGATAAAAGATTTTTTTTCTTTTTCTCAAGTCTCCCATCATTAAAGTTTGGTTCTAACGGCAGACTCCTTCTCTTTTTCATGTGTGTTGAAAAGCAGCTACTCCCTGTATCAAAGCCATCAGCCCGAGTGAAGGATGGACGACGGGAGGTGCGACTGTGATCATCATAGGGGACAATTTCTTTGATGGGTTACAGGTCATATTCGGTACCATGCTGGTCTGGAGTGAGGTAGGTGTTGTCTGAACATTAATATCTAATAGCTTGGTCTGGTTGGGGATACTGTCTACACTTGAATTTCTAATAGAGTGTGTGGAATTTAGTGGTGCCATTCTGGGTGGGCCAGCTCCAGTCTTACAGAACTCTGGAGACCAGGAAAGATGGGTTGGGTCTACCAAGAGGCATCACTGCCTGCTGGAATGGCTTCCAACCACTGGCCTGTAAGTACCAGGAGAGCTTCTGCTTTGTCATTTGTTCTCACGGGCTAGCCACGGAGTGGAGGTCCTAATGTGCACTGGGAATTGGAAAGCAGATCCAGAGTCGCAAATATATAGGCAAAGCCCTGTTAGGGCTTTAATAAAGTAGGAAGTTGTGAATATTTGTAGATGGAGTCATTTGTAGACCCATCTTCAAGGAACACCATCCCCATGACAGTAATAATCCAGGTGTAGGTGGTTCTTGACTTTTTCGATGGCTCGTCATCAGAGAGTGAGTGACTTGCCGGGAGAACCGAGGAGAACCCAGAGCTTTTTCCAGCCCTAGGAACTTATAGCTCCCAGGCATTTCCGTGTGAGACTGCAACCATCTGAAAATGACTGTGTTCTATGTGTGTAGTGCTTTCCAAGCACTGGGATCATGGTCGTAACCTGCCAGTTGACTTGTCTGGCAATAATCAATGTGAGCTCAGGAGCACAAAACATGAACATCACACTTATATACAAGCCGTGGCAAACTTGCCTTTGGTTTCTAAATTCTGAGCCTCGATTTCTCAGCCAGCATGCCCAGAGCCCCCTCTTCCTTCACCTCCCTGACGTTTAGAGCAAAAACAATGTTAGGGCTGCAAGGTACCATTGAGTTCATTCATCCCGCACACCTTACACGTGGTCACAGAATCACGACACTTCCCTGAGACTGACTAGATGCTAAGTACTGAGCTGAGCTCTTGACGTGGAACATTTTAGTCTTCCCTCTACACCGCGATGGAGATACTCTTAGTGTGCATCTTTCTTAATAAGGATACCGAGGCTTAGAGATACATTGTTACATAACCTGAAAGCAGCCACCCAGAGCCTAGAGCATGTGAGCGATGTGTGTGTGGCCACAGAAAGAAGTCGGTAGCACCACTGGAGCTAGAACTGCGATTTTCTGGTTCCATTTCTCGTTGTCCTCCCGTGACTCCGCTGTTCAGCCCATCCAGATATTTCCACTGTGCTCTCTCTTCAGCAGGGCCGTAGAGATAAGCAGAAAGTTAAGACTGTGATAGCTGAGTATGTTTATCTTTCCAAAGGAGAGCCTGCCCTTCTTTTTAAGCCTTCTGTGAGCACATCTCCCTGCCAGGAGGCCGCTCTGGCCAGCCCCTGGCCAGCACACCCTGCCGCGGCCTTTGGATGTCCCGCACGGCCAGCTAGCGGCATGCGCTTGGCCCGAGAATCAAAGCTCCCGTGCAGCTGAATCAGAGATGGGCTTTTCGGTCCACCACACTAAGTGTTGTCCAAGTTGGAATATCCCAGGCATGAAGAGTGGACTGAAATGGCCCAGGCAACTGCACCCCATCCTTTTTTAATTATTATTATTGAAGTATAGTCAGTTTGCAATGTTGTGTCAATTTCCGGTGTGCAGCCCAAGGCTCCAGTCATGCATATACATACATACGTTCGTTTTCATGTTCTTTTTCTACAAGATATTGGATACAGTTCCCTGTGCTGTACAGTATAAACTTGTTGTTTGCACCATGTTCTTTGCTGGAACCATTGGGTTATAAAATTAGAAGCATCATGTACATGACATATTTTGCTTCCGACCCGGTGTCTTCATGGCTGCTGGATACAGCAGTGCTCACCGGGACAGCTTTTCCCAGGTCTCCTGGGCTGTGTCTTCATCCCTTCCTGTCTCTCGTTCTGTTTCATGTCCTGGACTCTGACAGAGGGGAAGAATAAATAGAATATGAACTCCTTACTGCAGATCATAGCAGTCAAAGTGAGGGCAGAGAAGTGGGGCTCAAAACTGTCCATATTGTTGACCCCTGAGTGCAAGCTGGGTTAGTGTGACGCTTCCTTGACAACCTTGCACCGTCCTAGCCCAGGCATACGAGTGACACTGGACGTGGATGAGGGCTGCAGCACATCAGGAAGTCATTGCTTTGCCCCTCCACCTTGTTCCCAGTCAAGGTCCCCCAGTTTCCTCTTGGTTCCCCCACTTTCTTGCCCTCTTTGGGGAACAGGTAAGGGAGGTTAAATTCTCACTTAGATGTACCTACATTGCGTTAAAGGATCTGTTTCCATGTAACAAAATCAATGCAAATCATGAAAAGGAAAATCCACTGAGGCGATACTTCATCCTCCTCCCTCGTCTGCCTCCTCACTGCCCCTGCCTCACATGCCCAGAAGCCCCTCAGCGTGGATCTGGGGGCGTCCAGCTAGAAGCTGAGGGCAGGGGCTGCATGCTCCTTCTCTGCCCACCTCCTCCTCCAAACTGCTCTCATCCATGTGTCTGTCAGAAACCAACCATGACCCTCACCTGCTGGAAGCCTGCTACAGAGTTTCCCCATGTGTTTTCACAGATATTCTTTGAAAATAAATCAATCCCCTGCGGCATGAGCAGTTGGGTGTCTGCATGGAGACTTTCATTTGGGCTGTTATCCTCATGATGATCCTGACATTTAGAAAAATGAGCCTTGCGGAGATGAACTTTTTGTAAATATTCTCAACTATTTATAAATTTGACAGATACGGTGTCAGTGCCTTTTTTTTTTTATTGCAGGGAGAGAATCTGGTCCTGCTCCAAAGAAATTGAGAACTAGCTCGCATTTACTAAGGGTTTATCATGTGTAGGCACCTTGTGGGTTTTATTTTATGTATTCTTTGTGATAGCCCTGTGTCAGATTCATATAAGGAAACCGAGCGTCAAGATGTTAAGACCCTCACCCACCACCACACAGACCGTGCAGGAGGTGGGATCTGAACCACGATGTATGTTTTAACAAGGGAAATACAAGCCCCAGTCAATGAGAGAGCAACTGGGTGGAATCCTGAGGGAAGAAAGACAGAAAGAATAGAGGAAAAAAAGACACGCATCATGATCTAGTTGGATCATAGTCGAAGGGCAACAGCGCGCAGTAACTGAGGCTCTTCTTTTTGATCAGAATTACTTAAGTGCCTTAGGGGCAAAAAGCATCAACCAAATTTGGGGCCATTTCTCCAGGCTTCCACTGGATAGTATCAGAACTTGATAACTGTGAATACAAAGAGAAGATATTTATGAACATAGAGGCTGACTCGTATCAGCTAACATTCTAGGAGTCAGGAAGTAACTTAGGTGCTATGCTAAGTGCTCGGGATGGCCCTCACGTGAGCCTGGTGACAGCTGTATGCCCTGTTGTTCTCATTTTACTGATGAGGAAATTGAGGCCTGGGGAAGCTGGACAAGCTGTTCAGTTATCCAGTGGCGGGGATGGGATTTGAACCCAGACAGTCCAACTCCAGGGCTCACCTTCTTAACCATCCACGAGTTAGCCTGGGCCAAAATTTGTACCCGAGGGTTTTACCGTATCAGACCAAGCTGTAATGATCACCGTTGCCACTGATGCCTTGAACGGGAGGGTATCTTCACAGTTACTAACACCCTCCAGGGTGAGGTGGACTTGTCGTGTAGAGGATCAGAAGTAAGAGCAGTGCCTTCACCTTCCAGTTGTGTACATTTGTGGGTGGATCCGTTGACTTCTAGGAAGAAATTATCCTTACAAAGGGAAAGGCTACATCTACCATTTGTGTTAGAGGCAGATGACAACCTCTTCCTTTTTCTGCATAAGTGACAGTTACTGTATATTTCAGACAGTCAACCTGTTTGGGCCTCCTCTCTGGAGTGGGACCCCAGTCTGTCCAAAGCCTTGTCCCTGGCCACATTTTCTCTTGAGGTTCTGCCACCTTTGAGGTCTAGTACTTCTAATCCCAAGTAGACCTTTTATCTCTTCTCCGCGTCCTCACTCTGTAGCCCAGGGCACTCAGGAAGCAGGCTGGTGGGCCAGGACAAGCGGATAACATTTTAGATTAGCAGCTGACGCTATTATTTGGAGTCTTTTTTAGCTAAAGAATTTTTAAAAAGAGCCAGAGAAAATAGGGCTGGCTTCATTTACCCTCGTCTGTGCTCTTCCCAGCCCGGTCTTTTGCAAATGAGTAGTTCAGTTTGGCTCTCAGATGGCCCCCTGAGGGCTGGGGAGAAGAAAGGTGGCGTTCAACTGCTGCTAACTCAGCTGCCTCCTGCGGGCTCCCAAGTCTGGGGGGAGCCACAGGGCGTTCTCGTGAATTTGGTTCGCCATCTTTGTTAGCCTTCCTTATTGTTTCTTCCCCTTTCTCCTCTCTCTCCTCTTACAAAGCAAATTATTTTACTGATATTCTTGTGTTCCTTATCAGACCTCGCCCCAGAAGACTTAAAAAAATTCTTGGTCGTGTTTTATACATAAACCCAGGAAAACCAACAGGGTTGATGTGTGCTTGTGTTCAACGTGGGTTGAGCTTTTCCGCAAATAGAGATGCGCTTGGCTGTTTTTGCTTTTCTTCTGACATGTGATTTGGAGGAGGGAGGGGCTCCTGTTACTGTTTTGTAGAGCTAACTGTGAGTTTACCACCTCCCTCTCAATTCCTGTAACTTCTAAATGGTGGGTACTGCTTGGCTTGACTGCAGGTGTTTAGCACTGGGATAGGTACCATGGGTGATCAGAGTGAGGCCTTCGGGGATCTGGTGTTTATTTGGAAAGACAGCTTGCTCTCATTAGCACATTAGAGAGTTACATAATATATTGGTGGAGTCTAGAGTTCAACGTGTGACTTCAGATCCCAGGCAGGGTTCTAGAAGGCAGAGAGAATACCGTAGTCAGAAGTAGACTGTTCGAATAACCAGTCAAATTGCTCGTAGCCCAGTGGATCTCTGTGCTGCACATTTTTTGACTCTCCCAATCCTTTTGTTTACTTACTGAAATATCCGAGAGAATTTATACCACTTAAGGTATTTAAGCT